GAGGATAGAGGGAAGAGGAAATGAAATAAGATTGGCCGTGTGTTGCTATTACTGAACCTGGGTGATAGGCACATGGAACTTGGTTATACTAATCTTTTTACTTTAAAATTTTCCCGTAATAAAAACTTTTTTAAACGATGTCATTGTATCAGGTTGTTATCATGGACGCTTTATAAAGTTGTGGCACAGTTCTTTTGGTATGTAATCGGTGGGTAATGATTTGTGGCCGTGCTTGGTTTCCTTCGATGTTTTTAATTACTTTTCTCCTTCTCATTATAGGTTAAAGGTGAATCCTTGTTTTATTCTAGCAAAATGGACCTGAAAGTAAATGGGGAACAACTGGATCTGGATCCTGGTCACACTTCAATTTACTATGTTGATGAAAAATCACCTGAATTTTCAATGCAAGGTCTAAAAGCTGGAGTTATTGCTGTCATCGTAGTTGTGACAATAGCAATTATTGCTGGAATTGTTGTGCTGGTGAGTATAGTGCAAGAAAAAATTTCACTTAAGAGTATATTCTTTCAAGGAAAGGTCATACATGAAAAGGCTACAGTCATGTACCAAAACATAGGGATGAAACAAAGTCTGCATTTTCTTATTATAATCAGTCTGCTGCATTTCTGAACCATCACTTTGTGTAGCAAGAAAGGACACTAATCTGAAAAAAGCTTGCACCTGAGCACCTACCTCACAGGCCATCAAACAGCAAATATCCTGCAGCTCTTCTCACTACAAACAATGCAGTGTTCCTGCCAGGATTAGTGCAAAATACCTGAACTCCCAAACCATTCAAGGAAGTGAAACAACAGAATACAAAATGAAGATAAGCATAGAAAAGAGTGAAAGGTGATAAATAGGAAGCAACAATTCTCAAGAAAAGATGAACAAATTGAATTTATTAGTGCTTCAGACCTGTAGCATATCCCCTGAACAAGCAGGGTTTATTCTAGGAGTGTAAGGAGGACTCGGCATCAGGAAATCTTACCAACACAGCAGAGTTTTAGAAATGGATTTGAAGGTATGTGGGAACTTACATTTGCAGTTTGATGGAATTATCACTCTTGTCTGTCCACCTGGAAGGAAACA